CAAATTAAATATACCAGATTGCTGCCATTTAGTATCAGAAGTATTGCAGAGCACCTTCAAAATAAATAATAAATATTTAAATACAAGCCAGAAGACACTAGGAGCCTTCAGTTTGGGATACTTCATCCCCAGGGATGATGGTATATGTATTCCAGGCTAACTGGAATATATAGATGGTGAAATACATAGATGATATATATGATATATAGACTAAACAGTGAAAGGTGGCAGAGGAAGCACAGCAGAGTAGTTTCAATTCAAGAGCGAGGGGGCAGATTTCTCATGATTTCTCCTCCTTAATACAGCCCTCCCGCATGCTGTAGTTTATGAAGGTCCCCAATCCTCAGCAGAGGATTTCTGTGTCATGCAGGGTGCTCCTGGGGAAAGGAGATAGTGGTAAAATATCTGATTCCTCAAGTTCTTTCTATCACACTTCTGTAGGATGCAACCTACCTTGGGCTGCCAGTGGCACTGATGGGGCAGAAAGGTACGATATAAATTATGCAAATAAGTAAGTAAATAAATATATAACCCAGAATTATAAAGCACATAAAAGAACAAGCCAAACTCAGGAAGAATGGAGGGAGTTCATCCATATACATAAAGGCATGGTGTTATGTACGCGGACCGCCAGCAGGGGTCTGCGGCTCCAGGCAGGAGCTTAGCTCCTCAAGACAATAGGAACTGAGGATCCTAGTTCCCCCAGCACAGACCAATAGGAACTATGGCTGGAAATTCAAACTCCCCAGTGGGACTGTGGGTGTGCTGGGTGGGTGTGTATATAGTTGGCCTTGCAGGGCCGTTTTGCAGTTCGATGTTAAGTACGATAAATGTGTGCAAACACATGTCAATGTCCGAGTCCTCCATGCTGCGAACCCAGTACTTTTCAGTGGCGACGAGGATAGAGCCCATTTCACATGCCATATGGGAAAGGCCTATCGTAACCCCCCTTAAGCCCAATGGCAAAGTCCGCATATCTGCGGACTATAATTGCACAATTAATAAGGCCCTTCACGACCACTCCTATCCGGTCCCGGTCGTCAGTCATGTTCTGGCCTCTCTGGCGGGAGCTAAATTTTTCGGGAAACGTGATCTGGCGCAAGCCTATCAACAGTTGCCGGTAGATGAGGCCACGGCGCAAACGATAGTCACCCACAGGGGGGCCTTTAAGGTAAACAGGTTACAATTCGGCGTGAGCGTAGCCCCGGGGATTTTCCAACAATTAATGGATTCATTGTTAAAAGGGATCCCTGGAGTGAAGCTGTTCTTTGACGATGTCTTGATTGCCGCGGCGTCCCCTGACGACTTCGCCTCCCGCCTCCGCGCCGTCCTGCAACGTTTTAACTCGGCTGGCCTCAAGGTGAAACGGGAGAAATGCCTCCTCGGGGTTTCTGAAGTGGACTTCCTGGGGTTCATGGTAGATGCTACCGGCCTTCATCCAGCTAAAGACAAAGTGAAGGCCATTGTGGAGGCTCCTGCACCCACATGTAAAGCAGAACTACAGGCGTTCTTGGGACTCATAAACTTTTATCATGCCTTTTTGCCACACAAGGCTGCTGTAGTGGAGCCCTAAACCGGCTCCTGGATAAGTCGGCTCCTTGGTCCTGGGGCCCGAGGGAAGCAACGGTGTTCAGGGGGGTGAAAGCGCTTTTAATTTCAAACGATGTGCTGGCCCACTTTGATGAATCCCTACCGGTTGTGTGACGCCTCTCCCTATGGCGTCGGCACAGTGCTGGGCCACGTCCTCCCTGATGGCTGCGAGGTTCCCGTGGCCTATTACTCCAGAACCTTAACACCCGTGGAGCGCAACTATGCACAAATTGACAGGGAGGGGTTGGCGATCGTTGCTGGGGTCAAGAAGTTCACAACTTCGTTTACAGGTGCCCTTTCACAATTGCTATGGACCATAAGCCCCTCTTAGGCCTCTTAGCTGCCAACAAGCAAACGCCCCAAGTCATGTCACCCCGGGTCCTCAGGTGGTCCCTTTTTCTGGCTGGCTACCAGTACCGCCTGGAACACTGCCCGGGCAAGACGATGGGCCATGCCGACACACTGAGCCGGCTACCGCTGCCAGTCGCTGACGCCGATCCCACTCCTGTGCTAGGGGTCCTGCTCATTGAAAGTCTTCCGGAGCCTCCTCTGCAAGCTGCCGACATTGCTGCCAAGTCAGCCCGCGACCCCCTCCTATCCCGGGTCTTGGGCTGGGTGGTGAGGGGTTGGCCTATGTCATCCCCGGGCCCTGAATTTTCAGCCTTCACTACCAGGAAGGATGAACTCTTGGCCCTTAAGGGGTGTCGTGGTCCCCAGCAGCCTGCGACAGCGGGTACTCATGGCACTCCACGAGGCGCATCCCGGCATCGTAAGAATGAAGGCACTACCCCGGAGCTATGTGTGGTATCGATGCTGAGATAGAGTCCTGGGTCCGGAGGTGCCAAACCTGCCAGCAAGTGTGACCTAACCCTCCAAGTGCACCCCCACAGCCGTGGGAGTCAATCCGTAAACCATGATCCTGGCTTCACGTTGATTTTGCCGGACCATTCCAGGGACTGTTGTTCTTAGTA